AGGAACCTTCTTTCGTCCTTATAGACCACTCGATCTTCCTCTGTTGTTATGCTGCCACGCGGGACTTGAATTTTAGAAGGTTTATTTCAGAAAGCAGATACAATAGAACAAAACCTTAAACTTGGGTAACTAAACCTTTTTCGGAACGGAGATCATAAAACAGAGTATGAATTTAAAATGTTATATGCAAAACACGCGATAAAATTATAAACCAAGGCGGACAAATTAGTATAAAAGCTCAATACGTTAAAACATAAAAATACGAACAGAATTAAAACAGAGGTAAGTCCCCATCCCTCCTTCTTTATCACGTTAAATAGTTATGTGGTTCTGGGCGGGGTTTAAATCCCGCTTAGTCCGAACCGGACCAGTTCAGGTTCTGCCGTAGCTTTATTGTTGGGATTATGCGCTGTTTCCCAGCAGGAATGTCGGCTTGGCTTTGCATTCTTTCCGTCTCCCCAGCTTGGGGAGCTCGTTCTGGAATTACCCTCCTGCCCCTCCGGCTTAGGAGTGTTCGCTTGACGCGACACTTCCACCTCTCTTGATTCTAATTTATGCTCCATATCGCGGAGGTAAAGCTTCATTTATTTTAGAAAGACTCGTTGTCCTCAGATTTCATCTATCTGGAGCTGACGTTTTTGATCTTCGTCTACGTCCCGAGGGAGGCCGAGTCCACGTTTGTAAGTTGCGAGTAAGAGCTGGAAATGTCGTCTGAGGGTCTGCATCATTCGGGGCAGTAGTGGTAGACGTTGTTCTTCAAATCGCCGCTGAAATCCGCCAAAATCAGATGTTGAACGTTTATTCATGTTAACCATAGACTGAATATCCAGCAGAGTCAGCTTTATTTATATCTATAGAAATCAAGCGGGGGTCGTAGTTATGGCCCATCTGGTGGGAATTTGTCCACTGCTATGCTCTCTTAGAATAAAAGCGGGGTGCTACAAGCTGGGAGGCGCCGGTTTCTCCCGTAACGATCTCTTTATTAAGTGTCGTCGGTTTCTTTTTAGTTTTTCGGATGAGCTGTTACCTTTAGCGTCCGACTGGAGGTAACAACTCTGGCTATTGCATTTTAGATCGAGGATAATTGGGAAAGTTAACATTTTTTAAACAGAAATGCTTAGGTGCTTTGTCACACCTTCAGCTTGTTACGTCTAATTACAGCAATTATAGTTAATTGACAATAGCACTGAGAAATAATTTATTTTTTTTATTTTATTTATTTATTTTTTACAATTTATCAATCTATGACACCATAGTCGTTCG